CCTAGAAAAACTGCAGCAAACCAAACCCAAATCTAGTAGGAGAAGAGAAATAATTAAAACCAGAGAAGAAATTAACAGGATTGAATCCAAAAAAAAACACTACAAAAAATCAGCCAAGCGAGGAGCTGGTTTTTTGAAAAAAATAAACAAAATTGACACCCCATTGGCCCAACTAACTAAAAAAAGAAGAGAAAAGACCCAAATCAATAAAATCAGAGATGAAAAAGGAAACGTAACAACAGACACCACAGAAATAAAAAGAATCATCAGAAATTACTACAAGGACCTGTATGCCAGCAAACAGGAAAACCTATCAGAAATGGATAGATTCCTGGACACATGCAATCTACCAAAATTGAACCATGAAGACATAGAAAACCTAAATAGACCCATAACTGAAACAGAAATTGAAACAGTAATAAAGGCCCTCCCAACAAAGAAAAGCCCAGGACCAGATGGATTCACTGCTGAATTCTACCAGACATTTAAAGAAGAACTAACTCCAATTCTTCTCAAACTATTCAGAACAATTGAAAAAGCGGGAATCCTCCCAAATTCTTTCTATGAAGCCAGCATCACCTTAATCCCTAAGCCAGAGAAAGATGCAGCACTGAAAGAGAATTACAGACCAATATCCCTGCTGAACATAGACGCAAAAATCCTCAATAAAATTCTGGCCAATAGAGTACAACAACAACTATCCCTCTTTGCATACGATATGATTCTGTACAGAGAGGATCCAAAGAACTCTACTGAGAGACTATTGGAACTCATAGAGGAGTTTGGCAAAGTGGAAGGATATAAAATCAATGCACAAAAATCAACAGCCTTTGTATACACAAGCAATGCCATGACTGAGAAAGAACTGCTAAGATCAATTCCATTCACAATAGCTACAAAAACAATCAAATACCTTGGAATAAACTTAACCAAGGATGTTCAAGATCTCTATGGTGAAAATTACAAAACCTTAAAGAAAGAAATAGAAGAGGATACCAAGAAATGGAAAAATCTTCCATGCTCATGGATTGGAAGAATCAACATCATCAAAATGTCCATTCTCCCAAAAGCAATTTAGAGATTCAGTGCAATCCCAATCAAGATAACAAAGACCTTCTTCTCAGATCTAGAAAAAATGATGCTGAAATTCATATGGAGGCACAAGAGACCTCGAATAGCTAAAGCAATCTTGTACAACAAAAACAAAGCCGGAGGCATCACAATACCAGATTTCAGGACATACTACAGGGCAGTTGTAATCAAAACAGCATGGTACTGGTACAGAAACAGATGGATAGACCAATGGAACAGAATTGAAACACCAGAAATCAACCCAAACATCTACAGCCAACTTATATTTGATCAAGGATCTAAAACTAATTCCTGGAGCAAGGACAGTCTATTCAATAAATGGTGCTGGGAAAACTGGATTTCCACGTGCAGAAGCATGAAGCAAGACCCCTACCTTACACCTTACACAAAAATTCACTCAACGTGGATTAAAGACCTAAATGTACGTCCTGACACCATTAAGTTATTAGAGAACATTGGAGAAACCCTTCAAGATATTGGCACAGGCAAAGAATTTCTGGAAAAGACCCGGGAGGCACAGGCAGTCAAAGCCAAAATCAACTATTGGGATTGCATCAAATTGAGAAGTTTCTGTACTGCAAAAGAAACAGGAGAGTGAAGAGACAACCGACAGAATGGGAAAAAATATTTGCAAACTATGCAACAGATAAAGGGTTAATAACCAGAATCTACAAAGAGATCAAGAAACTCCACAAAAACAAAACCAACAACCCACTTAAGAGATGGGCCAAGGACTTCAATAGACATTTTTCAAAAGAGGAAATCCAAATGGGCCAACAGGCACATGAAAAAATGTTCAAGATCACTAGCAATCAGGGAAATGCAAATCAAAACCACAATGAGGTTTCACCTCACCCCGGTTAGAATGGCTCACATACAGAAATCTACCAACAACAGATGCTGGCGAGGATGTGGGGAAAAAGGGACACTAAACCCACTGTTGGTGGGAATGCAAACTGGTCAAGCCACTATGGAAATCAGTCTGGAGATTCCTCAGAACCTGAAGATAACGCTACCCGTTTGGACCCAGCCATCCCCACTCCTTTGGAATTTACCCAAAGGAATTTAAATTGGCAAACAAAAAAGCGGTCTGCACCCTAATGTTTATTGCAGCACAATTCACAATAGTCAAGACCTGGAACCAACCTAAATGCCCATCAATGGTAGACTGGATAAAGAAATGATGGGATATGTACTCTTTAGAATACTATACCGCAGTAAGAAACAACGAAATCCAATCATTTGCAACAAAATGGAGGAATCTGGAACACATTATGCTGTGTGAAATAAGGCAGTCCCAAAGGGACAAATACCATATGTTCACCCTGATCGGTGACAACTGACTGAACACCAAAAAGGAAACCTGTTGAAGTGAAATGGACACTATGAGAAATGGTGACTTGATCAGCATAGCCCTGACTGTTAATGAACAACTTAATACATCATCCCTCTTAGTAGTTTTTGTCTGTTCTACTTAATATGACTGGTTTAATTCTGTAATTATCACACAGTTATTCTTATGTGTTGAAAATTAACTGAAATGTGATCCCTGTTAAACATAAGAGTGGGAATAAGAGAAGGAAGAGATGTACAATTTGGGACATGCTCAAGCTGACTTGCCCCAAATGGTAGAGTTAGAAACATACCAGGGGATTCCAATTCAATCCCATCAAGGTGGCATGTGCCAATGCCATCTCACTATTCCAAGTGATCAATTTCAGTTCACAATTGATCATAATGAAAGGACTAAGAGTCAAAGGGAGCACATAAACAAGTCTAGTATCTGCTAACACTAACCGATAGAATAAATAAAGGGGAGAGTGATCCAACATGGGAAGTGAGATACTCAGCAGACTCATAGAATGGCGGATGTCCTAAATAGCACTCTGGCCTCAGAATCAGCCCCAAAGGCACTCGGATCTGGCTGAAAAGCCCATGAGAGTATTTCAGGCATGGAAAGCCAAGACACTCTGGCAAAAAGATCTCTGTGACTGAGATCCCAGTGGAAAGAACAGGTCTTCAAAGAGGGAGGTGCCTTTCTCTGAAGGGAGGAGAGAACCTCCACTTTGACTATGACCGTGTCTAAACAAGATAAGAGTCGGAGAACTCAAGGGGCTTCCATAGCCTTGGAAACTCATGACTGGTGCATAGGGAGATTACTGATGCCATAAACAGGAGTGTCAATTTGTAAAGTCAACAACAGGAGTCACTGTGCACTTACTCCTCATGTAGGATCTCTGTCCTTAATGTGCTGTACATTGAGGCTTAATGCTATAACGAGTACTCAAACAGTATATTTCACTTTGTGTTTCTATGGGGGTGCAAACGATTGAAATCTTTACTTAATGTACACTAAACTGACCTTCTGTAAAAAAAAAAAAAAAAAAAGAAATTATCAACTCCCAACTTGACTCTCACTGGGATTAAACATGACAATAGGTCTGATCTGATTTCATCATCATTTAAAAAAAAATCATCTATTATTTTTCACTTTATGTTTCAGTGTGGGAGCAAACTGTTGAAATCCTTACTTAAGGTATACTAAGCTGATCTTCTGTATATTAAGAGAATCGAAAATGAATCTTGATGTGAATGGAAGGGGAGAGGGAGTGGGAAAGGGGAGGGTTGTGGGTGGGAGGGACGGTATGGGGGGGGAGCCATTGTAACCCATGAGTCGTACTTTGGAAATTTATATTCATTAAATAAAAGATAAAAAAAAGAAAGTCATGGTTCCGTAAAGAGAGGAGAGGCAGAGAGAGGTCTTCCATCCACTGGTTCACTCCCCAATTGGCCGTAATGGCCAGAGCTGCACTGCTCAGAAGCCAGGAGCTAGGGGCTTCCTCTAGGTCTCCCATGTGGGTGCAGGGGCCCAAGGTCTTGGGCCATCTTCCACTGCTTTTCCAGGCCACAGCAGAGAGCTGGATCAGAAGTGGAGTAGCCGGGACTTGAACCAGCACCCACATGGGACGTTAGCACTGCAGGCAGTGGCTTCACCAGCTATGCCACTGCATAATGATTCTAATTAATTTTAATGATATTAACATGCAATCTCTGATCCTGAGTTGTTACTGCAAAGGGATGTCTAAGAGTGCCATGAGAAAATTTCCTTTAAGGCTAAAATTACCTCTAGGAGGTACAAACAATACTTAAGGTTCTAGCAGTCTTCAGGGGACAGAAGGTAATAGGTAAGGCACACTCTTTTAAGAGAATCTAATACTTGACTATATCAGAAGAGGCTACCTTAAACTAGATTCAAAGCTAGGTCTGGGTTTCCCAGTCCCACTCTTTACCTTACTAATCAGTACTTCATTTAGTTTATATGATCCCATCCCTGATTTTTGGGTGTGGCACACAAATTCCAAGGCTCTGGGGAGTGGGGAATGTATTTTGGACAGAGTGAGAAGAAATGTGATCAAGACTTCATATGAAATACTTAAAGAATTTAGGGAATATTTGTGTTTTTTTTTTTTAACTCAAAGCTAATGAACTGGTTTATCCAAATGTGTTTTTACGGTAAATCCATGTCTTTGTGTAGCTTTTCTAACTCAGAAGTATAAATGTTACTAACAAAAACATCTTTTTGATATTTTAGTATTTATATTTTTATTACAGTTATTTAACCTGGGGAATGTTAAATAATAATCATTTGATTTTTATGTCATTGTTTTGAGTAGGTTAATAATTGAACTATTCAAACAAGTATACAGTAAATTCCTACTGTTTTGATAGCAGGAATACAAAATAAACTTATGAGGGAAAATTAGGAAATTTGAGATTTTGAAAGCAAGAAAATTCTTGGGAAATAATGTAAGCTCTTGGGATCATTTCAGACTTCAAGAAGCCATGAAACCAGTGGATTCAAGCCGAGATCTTCTTGGGATAAAAGAAACCAGGTGATATCTGGGTAACAAAGGGGAAAAATTGAAATTTGACTAAGGTTCATCTCTGACAGCACAGGCAGCAGGGTACAGATAAAGGATCTGGAAGGTCCTGGAGTGTGGAGTGACCTGGGGGGAGGCATGGTAGAAGAGGGGCTGTGGGTCAGTTGCTTCTTTTCATCACCCCTCCCCCATTCTCAGAAGCTCTTTGTGATGAGGAGCCACAGTTCTGTGATGTGTGCTAGGACCCTGGTCCCTTCTACAGAAAGGAACTCTCAGAGCTCAGTGTCCTGAGGGTAGCAGTGTGAGTCATGATGGAGGGACATCTTCCTCCTCTGAAAGGTGTGAGTGCCACATGGCTGCGCACCAGCTTCACTTCCTGGGTGGTGGACATCATCTTTCCCATCCTGTGTGGAGTGGGGCTCTTTCTCCTGATACTCCCCTGCCTCAAGAGTGACCCATCCTCACCACCTGCTAGACAAAAGGGGAATGTCAGGAAGGTAAGGAGTTCTTGGTCAAACACAATATAAAATTATTTTTTCTACTCATATTTTCATTTTATTTCCAGACCAACTAGAGAGACACTAAGTTGGTAAATTTTGGGAACAGACACCATCCCTCAGGGAAAGGGTTAGACTGGGCACTATGATTTCTATCAAAAGCTCTCAGATCATATTCATGGGTTCACACCAGGACAAAATAAAACACTGTTACTCAACAGCCCATGAGTGGATCACTCAGACAGTTCAGTACAGGAATAGGGAATAAATAAATCCCCCATGAACCTCACACAGAGCAGCTCTTGGTGTGCTTTTCAAACAGCAGCCATACATATATGTAATAAGAAATATAATAATAAAAGATGTATATTTTAAATAAAAGAACACCAAGGTCCATTAGCCAAACATAGCAGCTAGTGATGGTGTTCATGAGCACTGAACGTAAGTAGCTTATGTGGGGAGAGGACAGAGAACTGGGTCCCAGGTGCTCTCTCCTATGTCTCTCAGAGTCAAGTGCAGAGAAGGGGAAAGAGCAGAAGCAGGAAGAAGAGCACCACTTTGAAAGGTAAGGCTCTGCCCTTCCACCTGGAGCCCCCACAGATGACCTGTACTCACCAGCCCTGAGGGACAGAGCCACAGCTCATGGAAGCCAGTGGCAGAGGCTTAAGGGGCAGGCTGCTGGGAAGGCAATCAGAATTTGGGTCACTTCTCAGCTTCCTGTTGGCAATGAAGCTGTGGTAAACAAGAGATTGGCAACACCTAATAGGGGCGCTGTGAGTTGCAGAGAGCCAACACTGCCTGCATGTGGAGTCTAGATGTGGACAAGCTGTTTCACTTTAATAAGATGAATTCTTTGAAGTGAACCTGTCTTTTCTCCCCTATAGAGCAATTGTGAGGACCATAGCTGGTGACTCAGGTGCAAGCACATTGTAAAGCAGAAAGAGCTGCCCTTCTGTAGGCCTTGCTGTCACTCTCTGGGGTCATGTGGGCTGGACACTGATGCTGAGGTTCCAGAGTTTAATTTCCCAGGGGTTTCCCCTGAAGGGACATTCTATTTGGCCTCTTAGGAGGGCCCCAGATCCTTCCTTATGTCATTATAACCCCATCTCCTAATTTGCAGCTTGTAGAGAGTTCCTGCAGGAAGCAGAGGAGGCACGGGGGCTGCTTTCACTTCTTCAAAGGTGACAAATTTCTACCTCTCTCTTTGTCCCTTGTCCTTCTTGCTTCGGGACTCATGACCTGACCCTGGGCCTGGGGCTGACATGGGTGGAAAAGCTACAAGATGGAGAGGGAAGTGATTGAAGCACTGGAGTGAGGGTGAATCTCTGGGAGGCCTCACAGGGGCCATGGTTCCCACCCTGAACAGCTGGCCTGTCCTCCTGACCTTGTCTGCTTCTGGCTGAAGCTTGTGCCTCCTGTCTCCTGCAGCCACCAGGGGAAGCCCCCTGACCAGGACAGAGCTCCTCATCTCTTATATCAGGACTTCTTGGGAGAGCAGCATGAACCAGCACTGGCCAGAGTCCACCAGCCTCATGAGCGTGATGCTTCACCTGCCATCTTTACCTCGCCAGCTTCCCCAGCTCCTCTGCCTTCGGCCTCCTGCCTCTCACAGGAACCTCATGAACTCCATTCTGATTTGCAGAGAATCCCAGCTGGCCCTGTTCCAGAAAGCACCCCTCCAGGTAACTCCAATTTGGCCTCTCTCATCATGGCCATCTCAGGCCTTGACCACTTAAGTGGTTCATTCTCACTCTTATCCTGGTGGTGGGCAGCTGCCAAGACCTTTGTCTTCCTCAGTTCACTGCATGGAAGATCCCAGCAAGAGCATGTTTCCCACCGTCCACAAGAGACCTCATTCTGGGGTGATCCCACATGCAGGCAATTGGAAGCTGATGGCTCCTTGTTTGTCAGCTCTGATGTTCGGAAGCTGCTAGAAATACTCATCTCCAAGAGAGTAGAACAGATGTGGAAGGCAAAAGAAGATGGGTCACTTCTGAAAGAAATGCACCCAGGCCACTGCCTGAATTCTTTGGGGAATCTTTTGAGGTCCCCTCGTGATAAGCAGGCTACCACCATCTCACAGCCTTTATGCGGGCTGAAAAACAAGCCAGTGCAGCCACTGCATCCTCAGCAGCTCTCTTACCCTAAGGTCTTTGGGGATCACTTGGAGCAGGAATACAGCCAGCTTTTCTGGGGCCTCCCCTCCCTGCACAGTGAATCCCTAGTGGCTAATGCCTATGTCTCCAGGAAGCCTCTCAAGTTCAAAATTCCCTCAGTTAAATTCAATATCAGCTCTAGTTCTCCAGTTCAAATTCAGTCATTGCCCCAACATCTGGCCCAACCACACAAGTTAGAGACCCCACACCATGTCCCATGCTTTCCCACAAAACAACCAATTTCATCTCCATCTGAGGTTAGGACCTGCAAAACAGCCTGCCCTACATCCCAGCAGAGGGCACGATCTATCATCCCAACCTATAATGAACAAATGGAATGGCCCTTTCAGAAGCCAGAGAAAGCAAGGAGGGCAATACTTTCTCGTTGCCAAAAGTCTCAGGAACTCACTGGCCAACCCACTCTCAACCATCCCCAGGGCAACCAGGAGGATACAACATCTTGTTGTACATTTCAGGAGAAAACTGGCTCTATCCTCTCAACTGAAAATCAACAAATTGAATGGCCCTTGCAGAAGCAACAGGAACAGAGGAGGACTTTAGTCTCTCATTTCCCGAACCCACAGGAAGTCACTGGCCAACCCACTCCCAAACTTCCCCAGGGCAGCCAGGCCTCCCACACCTACAAGGCTTCCTCCACTGTTCCTGGCTATTCTATTAGCTCTAAGCTCCGTGAGCCACCAAAACAGCAAAGTCAGGTGAGATATTTCAAAGATAAATGTCAAGATGGTCCTCCCTACAGAGCCCAAGCATCTTGGAAAGTGATACAACCTCAAGAACAGTTCTTACAGACCTGTCAGTGCCAGGCAAAGGATAGGCACCAGCACTGTCAGACCTGCCAGTCCAGTGTATTTACAGGTATAGGCAACAATGAGGAGCAGATTATGGGGTCTATGCGCTCTAGAAGAATTTTTGGCAAGGGTTCGATAAGGTTCAAACTAGACAAACCAATCAAGAATGTAGGGCAAGATAGGAAATGCTCAAAAGATATAGTCTGGAGTCCAGGTAGCACCTCAATGAAGTTTCTGGAGAGTAAGAAATCAGAAAGTTCTTTGACAACATCTGGGAAGGGTGACTGTGAAAATTATGTAACCAAGAGCTCCAACAAGAAGCATCTTGAAAAAAATCTGAAAGCCCATTTGGGCAGGAAGTTGGGGCAGATCCAGGAGGGCAAGATCCCTGTGAAAGTGCGTCGGTCCTTGTTTGCAGTCAACTGTGCTGCTCCCAAGTTTGACACCCATCCAAAACCTAGAAATTGCACCACCTCAAAAGGCCAGAGGTCCTTCACAGACACCACCAGGGAGCTTTCATTTCTTGATCCACACATTCGACTGATGCTAGAAACACACATTATAAGGTTCCGAGTGAGGCAAAAGTGGGGGCTACACCTCCAGGCTCTTGAGCCTAGAAATCTCAATTTAGGTGCAGTTCAATCTTCAGCCCTTACACAGTCAGCCTTTTCAACCTCAGCTGTCCGTGAATCTGGTGCCAAGTTGAGAGCCAAGGCTGCTGACTTCCTAAGAGAACTTCCTTGGAAAGGTCAAAGAGAGAAAGTTATGACCAAAAAACCAGTTCCCACCCTAGAGAAGTGTCCACTTTCTCCCTCACCTACACATAAGGAAGTCCAGAGGGCCCTAAAAGCCACGCCATGTGGTAGTAACCGTAAGTCTTCAGTGGCTCCTCTGACTGGACAGCCAGGCAGGCTGCCTGCTCAGCCCCTCACTTATAATCTCCCAGGCAGAAACTGGCAGAGTCGCACTGTTCATGGAGCTGGAAAAGACTGCTTAGAACTGAGTTCAAGGCAAGCCATGACAAAGTATGAGCCATGGGAGGATAGAGGAGACCTGGGCTCACCAGACCCTTGCTGCAGCACAAGAACATTTATGATCAATGCAGGATCCCAATCTCCAAGGGAGAAAAAGACCAAGGAGGCAGGGGAGGCTAAGGAGAAGGTCTCTACTTGGGAAGTCTCTGTGGGAACCAGTGTGGCAGCAAAGTCCCACATTAATGTGAGTCTGAAGAGTTTAGAATCTCTGGGGATGAAGAAAACACCCTCACCCTGTGAAAATTCCACTGACCAGCATCCAGGAGAACCAAGACAGAAAAGAAGGATTACCAAGGAATTGGAGCTCAAAGTGGAGGTAGAGTCAGAGAACCAGCCTCAAGACACAACCACCAACATTATCCAGCAAGATATACCCCCTGTGTTACTCTCTGATACAGATGTGCCCACATCTAGGGGCCCACTGAGCATCTCTCAGAGCGTGTCCACTAGTGACATATCAGCAGCTTTCCAGGAGCCATATGACCCTCTATCAAGAAAGAGAAGCAGCCAAGGGCAGCAAGAACCCAGAATCCCAAAAATGAAGGACCCACATAAGAGTGTGATCAAAACATTTGATTCTCCTAACAGGAGAGAGGTCTGCAAGAGGCCTAAACCAGGAGAGAAAGAAAGGATTGCAGGACAGAAGATCCTCCCTGCCCATGGGAGGAGCCACCCTGCCCAAGACAGGGAAACAGGAGACACCCTGGGGATTAAGTCTTCCCCACTCCTGCCAAAGAAGGGACAGGTACCTCCAGAAAACCATGTCAAGAAAATGGTGTGCCTTAGCCCCAACAAAAAAGGCAAAGGGTGGGGAGATTATCTGCAAAAAGTGAAGCCATCATCTGCCATTTCACAGAGCAAAGGAACAGTCATAAGCAGATATTTTGTGGAGAAGAAGGAACAGGAGGCCCGGGCCATCATGACATTTGTTGCCAAGATTCTGGCAGACAAACTGAGGCTTCACTATGGACGTGGTTCCTTAGAGTTAAGTTGGGCTAGGGAGGATGCTCAGACTCTGGTGGGACGGAGGAGTCCTGGCCGCAAGAGTCCCTTATATCTAGAAGAAAGGAGAGTGGTGACAGAAGTGGATTTTGGTCACCAAGTCAACCCCAAAGACCAAAGACATCTCATCAGCAATAGATGTGTCAGAGACAGGGACAGCAACTGGGACTCTCCACCCAGGAAGCCTGTGTCCCTAGGCAGCCCCTGCCAGGTCAGGCCAAGTGTGGCAGGTGCCTCTGGCCACCTTCATCATTACCCAACAGAGAGGGACCTTGAGAAATGTGTCTCATCTTGTCAACCAGGTCATGATTCCCACACCTTTTATGGTGCAAAAACTTTTCTACTACAAAGATGTCAGTTTGTGCAGAGAAAAGTTGTTTAGCCTCATGTCATTTGATGCTCTGGGGACTGATGGCTTCTTCTTAGAAAGGTATCTCTTACTTCCTAATACACATGTATTTTGTCCAGAGCTAGTGGCTTCTGTCTGTGCCATGATGGGGTGTAGGAAGGGGTCAGAGTATGCTCTTCCTGACATGGCTTCTAAAAGGTTTTGGGCATGGAGGGAGCCTGACAGTGACGTTTCAGGCCCTCATTCTAAATTCCTGCATGATTCCTTAGGTTTTCACAATCTAGTCATTTGAGAAACTAGTAATAAAGAGCCTTCAGGACTTCTCAGTTTGAGCAAACCTTATGAAGACTTCACCCAGGAATTCACTCAACTGATCCTCCTTGCCTCCCCCTGACCTTGAACTTTTGTGCAGCTGTGGAAAGGCTTACACAGACATTATAGGGTCAAGAGGCTTCACACATCACAAAGAGGGCACAAGAAGTTTACGGGGTGTCATGAGTTGGTCATGAGCTCAGAGGTGGGGAACACTTCCCTCACTGGTTCTCTTGGTAGGGAACAGACACAAACCTGCCCCAGGAGCCCCTTCTTTCTCAGATGAGGGTTGAGAGAAAGATGGGCCTTCCCAGCCTGTCTTGTCTCAGCCTTGATGCCATGACAGAATCATTCACTCTGCCTCCCTCTCTAGAACTGCGGCAATGACAGAACCAGTAGCTCTGAGTGTGGCTGGGTGGGAGCTACAGGATGGCTGCTGAGGGCCATCCAGCCCCTGCAGATACTTGCCTGCCTTCCTCTCTGTGCAAGGCTTCCTGTGTAGTATCCACCTGATGGTGGGCATAGTGTCGTTGCTCCCCCATTTGCTCAGGGAGGAAACTTCCTTCCCTTCACCACCAGTTGACCCCATAACCATATCTCATTGACTGAAGAATCCCCAGCACTTCAAATGAAAGACAAGAAAAGGAGGAAGAAAAGTTACCATGGGAAGGGAGTAGAAACATGAGAAAGAAGAGTCATTATCAACAATTGATTCCGTTCTCTAGCCAGACATGTAATTAACAAATGTAAACCTTGAGGCATAGAAATGTTCCCCAAGCCATACATATCCTCGCTTTCTTTTGACTCAGAACAAATGCTTTCCACATGGCAGCATACAATCTACATGGAAGGATTCTCTTCACAGACAGCCAGGAGATATCCTGAGGACACATTAATCAAGGTGATATCCCTGGGGGTAATACTTCCTACACTACCATTTATGATACATATTACCATTTCAGCCCCCAAAGAAATCTCTTCACCATTTAGATAACATATTTCAGAGTAAGGAAACCCTTCTAATAGCATTCTGTTATTTTGAATCATGGTATGGTTTACTAGGAAAATCATTACAAATGAAAATTTGACATTTACTTCCATGAACAACAGAGCAGCATCTACCCTTCAAATTAGTCATCTCAGAAATGTTGAATAGTAAAGGCAAAGTACCAAAATTCAGTTCCTTGATATGTCTTCCTTTCTTTAACACAACCCAACCACCATACACACATATAACCTTCCTGACAGGCATGGAGGTTCCTTGGTAATGAGGCCCTAGGTGGGTGGGGAACTAACTCATGGATGTGAATAAGACAGAGTTCACTTAGGGGCAGATGGGAAATGTTAGAAATCCCATTTAAATTGATTTCCATCACATACTTAAATATATATATATATATGTTTTGTGAGACCTATAAATTATAGAACCAGGATTCTTTCATATAATCTCCAAATAAATAATTACGTACATTATTGGAGTTGCATACTCAGGAAATATTTCACTGACTGGGAGAATGACAGAAACCTGGGGGAAATAGTGACATGAGCCAGAGTGTCATGATCTTTCCAAAGCAATGGATTCGAAATCCAATGCAACCATTGGCTCTGGATTCTATCAGGCAAATCACTGTGAGGCTTATCTAGAGAGAGTGGGAGCCACTCTGATACAGCAAACCCATTTCAGTGTCATCTCCCAGGAAGAAGGTGGGAATCATAGAAGTGAGTTAGTTTTCCTCTCCCTACTTGCCTGCAGAAATTGCTACTCCAGCCCAGAAGGGTCAATAAATCAGTGGTGAAAGGCTTTGCTGAGCACAACAGAAAGAGAGCTCAGACGCTTGCTATCAGACATCTGGCTGTAAGATGAGATATTTCATTGGACCAAGATAATTTCTTTATAGTTGTATCAATATATGAGGGGAGGTGGAACCTCAGTAATGTCAGAGCTGAGGGGAACTGGGGCTGGAACCAGTGGGGACCTCAGGTAGCATCTCTCAAAGACTGGTAAAGAGCAGTACAATCATACACCAGAGAATTAATTACAGTCAAAAATACATTGATTATGTTCATATCAGAGCATTTGAAGTGACATCATCCCGTAATCCACAGTCTCACTTTCCTTGCTCTCAGTAACTTAAGGTCAACAAGTGGCCTGAAAATATTAAATGTTAAATTACAGAAATAAAAATTTCATAAGTTTTAAATTAATCCATTATATGAAGAGATGATGAAAAGTTTATGAAAATAGAATCAAGACAGATTTATATTAATGCAAAATATTTTGAAATCCACGCATTTTTTTCGTAATACACATTTCCAGGAACTTTTTAAAGAACATTTTATTGTTGTATAGTTATAATTTTATTAGTAGTGATTAATCTCTTACTGTATCTAATTTATAAATTAGAGTTCACCCTAGGTTTGTATGTCTAGGGGAGAAAAACAGTCTATAAAGAGTTTGACTTTCTGTGGTTTCATGCATCAACTAAGGTTCTTGGGACATACTGTTGTGGTTAAGTAGTGACTGTTATATCCTATTGATTTCAAAGGCCAATAGAAATCAGTAATTCTATTTACTAAGTTAAGAATCTTTCATTTTCAAGTATGGAAAAAATTCAAAGATATTTGTTTTGGATCATTTAAGCAGTTCAGGGGAGAGAACTGAAAAAATATTATTAAATAAATCAAACATGGATGTAAAGCTTGATCAGAAAAGTGGGGCTGTTAAAATATTGGTTGAGTTAAAAAATAACAACAATATTTCAAATTATTTTATCTTGCTCAAAAACTGATAAATTTTGTAAGAAAGTTCTAGCTACAAAGTCAAGCAACGTGAAGTGCTAGCTTAAACATGAGAAGGCTGAACCTATTTTCTTCCACTACATTACTTCAAAGCTGTGAAATAAAATTATTAGTATTTAATCAATGATCAAGTTTTAGTGAAGCCAGCATACATAGTCGCTAGAAGTTTGTGCTAAACGGTGATTCTGAAGTCAAGTTGAAAAAAATATTTCAGTTTTGATACAAAGATCAATCTCTTGGACTAGATAAATAAATGGGCTTAAATAAAACCTCACACTAGTTAATCCACTGCACAGTATCTACCTTACCCAGAAATCTTCTGCAAAGGGGAATGATGTTTTTCACACTTGTATGATATTTAACAGTTATGGGTCAGGAGTACTCCGCCACTATGATATTTAACAGTTATGGGTCAGGAGTACTCCGCCAAGATGAAGCCAGATGTCATCAAGACTGAAAATGTGGAAGTCTTGCAACTTTCTCTCATATTTGTAGCTGTCAAGTTAGATATTTCATTTCATAATGATACTCTCTTTATGATGCAGTGATGCATGAAGGGATGGAGGAACGACTGTAAGTTAAAAATTTGAAAAAATTTGAAACAGACATTTGGCATAGTGGTTAAGATGCCACTTAGGGGACTTAAGCTGCTGCTTGGAATGACACACTCCATGTCATGGATATTCTACTTCCAACATAACAGTTTTAACATAAAGTGGTTTAAAATATTGTCAAATTCCTCTTCTTCATATATTTAAATAATCAAATGCTTTTTATTCCCTAGCTTATTGATACAGTGTGTAACACTGATTGAGTTTTGAATGATGAACATGTCATGAATAATACCTGGAATAAATCTCACTTGCTCATGTTTATAATTCTCTTGATATACCTCTCTAGATTCAATTTGATATTTTGGTTTAGATTTGAAATCTAAGTTCATGAGAGGTATTGGTCTGAGGTTTTCTTTTGTATGGTTTCTGTCTGGTTTTGGAATCAGGACAATACTGACTTTGCAAGCAATCCTCTGCAATGTTTTGGGAGAGTATGTGTAACACTGATGTGATTCCTTTGAATGCTTGGTAAAATTCCCTGATGAAATCATATGGTCCTAGAGATTTGGAGGAAGAAGAAGATGTGTGATTACAAATTCAATTTCATTATCAGTTATAAAGAGAGCTATTCAGGCTATGCAGTTCATATTAGCTCAATTTTTTTAAGATATTGTTCGATTTCTAAGAAGCAGTTCAACAGATGAGCCTAAATTTGTCCTATGTACTCAATATTATTTCAGTGTTTCAGGGTCCGGTATGACATGGACCATTCATTTACAATAAATCTCTTCTTTCTTTTTACTTGTGTATTTTATAGGTTTTATTTATTTGAAAGGCAGAGTGACACAGAGGAACAGGAGTGAGAGGAGGGTCTCACTTAGGGTCTTTCTTAGCTTGCAAGAGATTTGATATTTTGTTTACTTTTGAAGCACTAACAACTTAATTTGTTTTTTTTTCTGATTTTGTTTCATAACTTTATGCTCCTGTATTTATTGTTTCTATGCATAGTGTCAGTTGATTTTGTTCCTTTTTCTAGTTTCTAGAGTTGAGAACTGAGACTATTGATTAAGCTTCTCTTGCTCACATTGGACGCATCCCCCATGCAGTTTGGGCAGCATCCTTATATTGTAATGTCACTTTTCCATTTTCTTTCAGTTCTATATATTTTCCCTTTGGAGCCTTAATCTTAGACTCATAGCTTACCAAAATGTATGTTGTTTAATTCCCAGATGTTTGGGAATTTTCCATCATCTTTTTCATTGATTTCTCATTTGATTTCCCATTGTCAGTGAACATACTTGTAGGACTTCAGTTATTTTAAATTAGTTGAGGTTTATTTTAAGACCCAGAAGGTGGTCTGTTTTGGTGAATTCAACATGGATTATTAGAAATACAGTGTGCATGCTGTTCTTGAGTGAACTAGACTGCATTCATATCAATTAGTGTTAACTGATTGCATTATTCAATTCTTCTATACCCTTGCTGATTTTCTGTCTATTCCATGGCTAGAGTGGAGTATTAAAGTCCTCAACTAAAATTGTGGATTTATTTGTTTTTACTTTCAGTTGTATCAGCTTGTGACTTGTGTTCAGAGGACGTCTTGTTCTATGTATACACATTTAAATATGAGCTTATATCTTCCTTATGGGTTGCTTGTTTTCTCTATATATATTGACCCTCTTCATCTCTAGTATTTTTTGTTATGAAGCCTACTTTCTTAATATTAAAATACCCAGTATGTATTTTAAAAATAATGTTTGAGTGATATATCTTTTTCCATTCCTTTACATCCAACCTACCCATGCTGTTATATTTCAAGTGAACTTCTTGTAAATAGCATATTTTTGATTACCGAAATTTAATTGGAGCATAGATGCAATTTATGCTACTGTACATAAAACTTAGCACACTTTATATTAGGTACCAGAATTATTGCCATCTCTAAGAAGCAAAAGAAAATTGTTACATGTTAAAGCTTTACTTTGTCACTTTATTATTTTGTTTGGAGTTTTGTCTATTTTCTTCTCTTTCCTGATCTTTGGGTTACTTAAACAGTTTTAGGATTTCACATTGATTGTGCATTAGAGGGTTTTAAAAATTATATCTCCTTATATGTTTTTCTTGTTTTTTCTTTCAGTTGTTATTATTATGTATTTTAGACATATTATACACAACTTACCACTGTCAAATCATATTTATGTTTCATCATTAGAGGTGTAGAAACCTTACTTCCAAATAGTTCTCTTTACCCTCCTTTCTTTTTAAAATAGATAAAAAGTTAGGTAATTCTTCTATATCCAATAGATACCACATTAGATGGTGGTATAATTTTTGTTCAAACATCTAGTATGGTTTCAAATAGATATATATGCTAGAAACAATTTGTCCTTAACCTTAAAAGGCCTTTATTTTCCTTTCATTGATGAATGTCAGACTTTCTGGCTGACAGTTCTTTTTTTGTCAACACTTCGAAAATGTTAGTCCACACCTCCTTATTCCCTTCATTGTTTCGTATGAAAAAAACTGGTCATTCAAATTTTAATCTCCTTTTATGTATACATATGATTTTAGTTGAATACTTTAAAGAATTTTCCTTTGTTTTTAGTTTGCAGAAATTTTGTATGTTTTGATATGAATTTGAGTTTATCTATTTAGGATTGAATTAGCTACTTGCATCTGTAGGTTTCTGTTGATAACAAATTTGGGATGACTTTAGTTATTATTTTATTGAATAGTAAAATGGTGCAATCACTGTGGAAAACAGTTTTTCCATTTCTCAAAAAGTTAAACAGAATCATCATAATTGTACTTTGAAGTATATA